ATTATGTAATAACAATTTCATTTTTAAAAGTTGTTTATATAAATTTATAACAAATTAACGTATTGTGTGAGATCATCAATAATTTTACAGTATTGCCATAAAAATCAAATAATATGTTTTTTCCATAGATAAAAATCTGTTTATAAACAATTAATAATACACTATATTATTGTGACTATAAATATCAGTCCCAAACTGTATATTTAATAAACCAATGATAACATATTATACAGCAATATTTTTATGTACATTATATAAATGTAGTACTCAAACAACAATTATTATAAACTAATAAGTTAAAATAATTTTTTCAAAAGTTGAATGTTAGAATACAAGGTTTAAAATTAAAATAATATTGTATAATAACAATTGTTTATTCAAATTTTATAACAAATTATTGTTATTTTAAAAAAGGAAATGTTATAATGTACTGTATAAGATCATCAATATTTTTACAGGATTTCCATAATATATTATACGGATAAATCTAATAATGTGTTTATTTCCATAGATAAAAATCTGTTTATAAACAATTAATAATACACTGTAAATATCATTCACAAACTGTATATGAGAAGGCAAATGCTGAATGGGAACTCTCAATGAAAATCTTTTAAATAATATACTCATAATAACTTTTATTATTTACTAGTTTTAAAACAATAATTTTAACTAATAAATTTTAACTATTTATGTTTATAATAAAATATTAATCAAATAATTATATTTTAATTAATTTAAATAAAATATCCACTATATCAATATATCATTGTATGAACTAGTGATTAAGTTACAGTTTGTTTTTTATAGACAGATGTTCTTATTCAGCTTTTGCCTGCTCACATTTAATTATCTAATGCTAATCAATTATACTACAATATTTTTCTGCTAGTATATAAATGAAGTGTTTCAAACAAAAACAATTATACAATACATAAAATATTATTCAACGTAAAATAACTTGTTAAAAAAATTAAACAATATAAGCAATAATTTTTAAAAATAATTTTTAATTAATTAATATTCATATTACTTACTAATAAAACATGAATTTCGTATTCATATTAATCCTGGTAAGTGTCCAATATTACGGATTATCCAGCAACAAACCGAAAATAGTGTGCTATTGGCTCGACCACTATATGGAAGCCGGTGGTGACGACAGGCACACCCCCGAAAACATCGACCCAACCCTATGCACGCACCTACACGTGTTGGACGACATGAACACCGTGTTGAGGACCGGTAGCGGTAAACTCGCGCCCGATGTCTACCAACGACTCAGTAATCTCAAGCGTAAGAACCCGGAGCTTAAGATTATAGCCTCGTTTGGCGATAACCCTGGCGTTGCCTTTTCGCAAATGGTCAGTGAGCCGGGTAGTCGACGGGAGTTCACTACCAAAACGATTGAATACTTACATAAATACAAATGGGATGGACTGGACCTGGACTGGGAGTTCCCCGTGTGTTGGGGCGGCGACTGTAGTAAAGGTCCCAAAGCCGATAAACCAAACTTCGCTAATTTGCTCAAGGTTTGCCTGAAAATCTAAATTATTATAATGTTAAGGTAGTTTGTAAATAACCTTTAATATCATTATGTTTTATCGTTGTTATTATGTTAGCAATTATTACTTTATTTAATATTTTCCCAATAATTATTATATAGTATAGCAAACTGTAAAAAGTGGCATCAAATTATATAATATAATATACAAAATGAAATGCATTTATTTGGTTCCGAATCCGGCCCAGAAATAATATAAATGAGATTTTTTAAATAAATAAATTTTAAAAATTATTTTTTTATACTCCCTACATATCTTGTCTTACCGTAATTAAAAGATACCTATCATATTTTAATTTAAATCTCTCTCTCTCTCTCTCTCTCTCTCCCACTCACTCTCTCTCTCTCTCTCTCTAACACACATTTTGTATTTGATAGGAATTGCGGGTGGCTTTCGACAAAGAAAACCCAAAGCTTAGCCTATCGGTAGCCATGCCATCAGCCTATCCGGGAGGACCTGCCGACCAGGGTTACGACATGTCAGTCATGGCATCGTAAGTGTCCATTAAATTCACATAAACTTTATCCCTAATAATAAAAACATGAATTTTTATAACTAATTAAACATTATTTTACTACTTAAATAATACTATAAACATCACATACCAGTGCCCTGGACTACATGTCCGTAATGACATACGACTTGGCGGGACCTGAGGATGGCAAGACTGGTCACCACTCGAGATACCAGAGCTGTATCAGAGGTACGCAATACTACGTGACCAAAGGTATGCCCAAAGACAAGGTGCTGATGGGAGTGCCCTTCTATGGGCGTACATTCAAACTGCGGGATAGGGATCAACACGGAATGGGAGCACCAATTTCCGGTGCTGGACAGACACCTCATGGCGAGGGGAATGTAGCTTTTTATCGAGAAATGTGTGATTTGGTTAAGAATAAGGGGTGGGCTAAGGAGGACACGAATAATGGATACGACCCCATCGCATACCACGACCTATTATGGGTCGGTTATGATGATCCCTACGCCGCCTATGAGTATGTGTTTTATTTGCAAAAATAATAATTTAAAAAAGTAGACCAGATGTAATCATTATCAAGTTCAATTATACTTACTCTCTAATTTACAATTTGAAAACTATTTACATTTTCAAACTGTAAACTAAGATTTTTTATTTGAATTATTTTATTTCTAAAATCAAAAATATGACTATTGGTACTGTACTCACACCACACACTACTTAAACTTTTATTTAAAATTTTATAGTAAAAGCAAATGGGTCGTAGACAATGGGTATGGTGGTATCATCGTATGGCAAATTATCCAGGACGATTTTGGTGCCAAATGCTGTCATGTTAGCTACCCTATGCTCCGGGCTATTAACCACGGCTTATACGGCTCGGGGGATGGTCCCGATAAATATGGGTGCGAGCACAAATAATTACGAAATTAAAATTTTATTTTACAATAAAATTTAATTAAATCTGTTTATAAGAAATATATGATTGACAATTATATACATGTAATTAAATATTACTAATTACTAATGTATCTTACAAATAATCTCAAATATTTGTTGCTATTTTAGCATTAAAATACTCAATGAAAAATTTATCATCATACTCGTTAAGCATAGTTAACATGGATTCATACTCGGGATCATTTTGAACATATTTCAAGTCTAGTTCCCATTCATTCCGTGTTTGCAACACATCCTTACACTCTGTTCTAATATCCGGGTCATCCGATTGCATCAAAACCAATACGTCCCTTAACTTTACTACACATTTGCTTAAGATCTCATTTCCTGGTGAATACATTTCGCCACTATATTTGTATATATAATACAAAAATAATAAATGAGCATGTTAACTTATAAAACCCATGATTAAACATACTTATCTAAGGCATTTATATCTAATTCAAATATATCAAGCTCACAAATCCTCGACAGACTATAAATATCAATCTTATACGTATATAAACTCTCATTATTCACTTCGGGTGCCAAATATTTAGGATTTCCCTTTTCGGAGTAGTGCTCGTTAATAGTAGCCAGGCCAAAATCGCCGACTTTGAAAAACCTACCCCTCGACGAGTCGATGGCGAGTAATATGTTCGCAGGTTTTAAGTCCCTATGGATTACCGGTGGACTTATGCCATGCAAATACTGCAGACATTCCAAGAGCTCGCAAAATATATGACACGACATGTAATACTCCATTGCATTTATAGGCTCTTCCGGTTCTCTACCAAACACTTCCGGTTTAGAGTCGAGAATACTCTGTAGACTCCGGGAACATAACTCCATTTGTATGAACATGCGATCGCTTTCCACCCAGAAATCATTATATTGGACCACAAACTCCGATCGAACTTTCACTAACTTTTCTGCTTCTTTGGATAGCCCTGGTAAATCTGAGTTCGCTATAAAGACAAATTTATTTTAAATATATGATAATAAATTGCATATATATTATACCTATACATAGGTATATATGAATAGTTAATTCTATTTATAAACATTATTATAATAGTTAATATTTTAACATTAGAAATTGTGCATGTCTCTAATTTTTGGAACAAACTATATGAATATATGAAATAATAAAAATAGTTACCTTGAAAGCCGACTATTTTGATAGCATACTTTAATTGGTTATATTTTCCTTTCACTTCATAAACCGTGCCAAATGACCCTGATCCAATTTTGGACAATTCCTCGTAATTCGTAATATATAGGCTAGTATTGGAATCAAGTTTCCTGTTGTCTATGTATTAACCAACAATAATATTAGTCAAATCAACAATTAATTTTAATATAATAATGAACACCTTCACCTTTGGACATTTGTTTGACATTAACCAAAATTTCATTTAAATATTTCACACAATATTCAATAAATTGTTCTTTAGATTCGTAATCATATTCACAAAAATCACTATAGCATATTGTTGCATGTGTGATTTTTAGCTTTGTAATATAATACTCAAATATTGACATATGCGTGCTAGGGTAAAATTCTTTTTTCAATGACATATCGCATATCATACCGTTTATACTAGCCACTAATCCCCCTATTTTATTTTGCCACGAAAACACATGCTTAATCAGCTCCACATTTCCATAGTTCGGTAAACGTTCAACTGTTTTATGCATTAAATATTGATCACCATCAGTTAGCATATACCGGCCGCACAAGTACAAATGACCATCGTGCGTTAGAAATAAAGTCGCAATGCCTCTTGAGCACACCGAGCGTACGTTACAAATATCGACCACGAGTTGAGGACTATTAACGTAGATATCGGTCGAATTGTGACCGAGGTTAAAATAATCGTTCAAGCCCCAACTAAACACACGATTGTCCTCGGTTATTACAAAGACCGAATTGCCACTACAATATATCGATTTAACATCATATTCACGTCCGTTATGTCGAAACTGCAATAAAGTCGGTTCGGCAATGTGGGCGCACGTATAGCCGCAACCTATTTGACCGCTTGTGTTGCAACCCCAGCCGTACACCGAGCCCTCTTCCGTCAGTGCCATGGCATGAGCGTAGCCGCAACTGAGCTGGCTCACATTTTTACCATCAAAGAATCTGATGGTGTTGGGCGCTTGTTGTAAGTTCACCGGTGGTCTAGCTAATTGACCCATATGGTTATGACCCCATCCAAGGATCTAATGATTTTAATAAATTGTATTTTTCGCATGATTGTAAAACAAAATTATATTGGACCATTTTTATTAATTTTTAACAAAAATATCCTTAATGGAGTTATATATGAATGGACATTTAGACTGACTCACGATCACCTCAATTACCCTTATAGTCATTTATTCTTAATATTTAATACCAGTCATAATCTACTTAATTATCCTGTAATTATTCTGACACTTAGCTATTATAAGCTATGTTTAAGACAAGGCATACCATGCCTTTTTAATCATTGTATTTCTGGCCTTTCTCTTTGTGTGTGTTCAATATGTATTTCAATACCAAATCTTAATGATAAATGGTTGAGCTTGTTATCATTGAGTGTATTCATTGTGCCCACAACTGGATCTACTCAATGTGACCCGCTATATAAAGAACCTTATGTCCAGCACTCGCTGTCATGTGGTACTTACATCCAAGCCACTGGATTAAGGGCTACACCTGTGGCCTCGATGCAAGTATGGTCATTCACAAAGTATATACGCTTATATTATAATGTTAAATTCTTATGTCTGATGGGTGTGTAGGGGAAAGGGATAAATTTGTTGAAATAACTTTTCTACCTACTATTGAAATACTTACAATATATTGGCTATATTAAAATAAATGTAACCTGTTTGTCAGCGTTCGCGGCCAATATGAAATCGACTCCCGGAATAAATTGAGTGATATTTTGGCCGCATAATCCAGGTATGAGTTGCGGCGATGTAACAGGCACATTGTGATCAAAGCCTAACAACCCAACTTGATTGGATCCGTACCCATAGGCCATGTCATTGGTAGTGATGAATATTACATTATATCCCCTCTCGTCGTCGAACACATGAAATAATTTTATTGATTCCATTATGCCGTTTACTGGAGCTGTCTTAGCTGGGTCTGAAGTTAATTTTTAAATAAATGCATGATTATTTCAGTAGTCAATTTATCTAGATATGTTCCAAATCATATCTTAACAAGTATGACCTACAGAGGCCAGTTAGTAATATAGTACTTATGATAGTAGAATTACTAATTGGTATAGTTAAAATATTTTGTTAATATATGTGTTAGATCTTAATAGGAATAACCGAAACTCGAAACATGTTATCTCTGAGTTACAATAATAATGCTATGCTTCATAGGCAAATAAATTTAGCTAATGAATTATTTAGTTAATTACTATTTGCCTTAAGTTTAAAACAATATAATTAATACAATTCGTACCAATAAAATGTTAATAATGAGAATATTTATGTAAATTTTCAAATAATAACAAACTAGATTTAATTTATAATAATATTACAACTTTTAATTGTTTAATTAAAGAATAACAAGAAATTCTAGATTTTGTAAATTTAGATAAAAAATATCTTCATATGTCCTAGATAAATTTTAAGTGCACATACCTGATAACACTTTTTTTGTATCAGCGAAAATCGTATTTACGAAACTTTTATAACGTGATAAATATTCGCGTTTGGTGTTGAAATTGAAATCATTATGGTTGTTGAAGTTTATTGTCGTATATGTTTTGTTATAATTTCGCAAATAATACTCTCCGCAATCGGCAAAATCAGCCTCGTGGAATTTAATATCTAGACCTAGTTCGTACACTTTTTCGTTCATCACGACAGTCACCATATATATATTACTTTTGAGCGAGGTCAATATCTTTAGATCATTAATTTCGCCGTCGCCACACAACACGACCAACGATTCGTGTGATAATCGTTCGCCATTTTCATCTTCGTATTGTCCGCAAAAATATATCACACCTTCAGTTGACAAGAAATATGACGATAATGTGCTCGAACATACACATTTAATTTCATCCATCTCTAAAATTAACCTTGGCGTCGATATATTATCGGTGCTTTCATGACCTAGACTGTTAAACTGGTTCATGCCCCAACTAAATACCAGTCCGTCCATGGTGATAGCGAACGAGCAATATTCGCTACAATAGACACTCTTAATGATAAACTGTACCTGGTGGTGCTCGAACTGCAATTTTTGGGGCTTAGTCACCGGACCCACTGTGACGCCACAACCTACTTCTCCATCACCATTAAAGCCCCAACCATATACCGAGCCCTTCCCAGTCAGGGCCAGCGCGTGATAATTGCCGCAACTTATTTGGCACACATTTTTCCCATTAAAATAAGCGAGCTCATTCGGTAGTTGATAGTTATCGTCTATTGGAAACCTCGCTAATTGCCCTTTGCCATTACGGCCCCATGTGTGAACCCTTTTCTTGGACGTTGCTGCTATAACAAAATCGTTTCCGATTATGAACTGGGTAATACCGTGGTCACATAATTCCGGTATTATTGTCGGTGTTTTAATTGACTGACCGTGGCCGAGACCTAATTGCCCGGATACATTGGTTCCCATTCCGTAGACCTGGTCATCATTTGTGACGTATATTATATTATAGCCGTGAATATCGTCAAAAACGTGCATTAGTTTTAGCGAGTTAATTAGATTATCGTCACATATACTAGAATTATCAAGGATATTTGTGGCCATGTTTTAAATTTAGCTGTTTTAAATAAAAGTATATAAATATTAAGTTATACATTCGATTTTAAACAGCATTAACGAATAAACATTGTATCAGTAGTAGAAATCTTAAATGATAAATGGACCATGTTTTAAAACTATTTTCAAAATCAATCTGCCTATTATTAAGTTTTGTATAAAATACAATTTATAATTATTAAAAATATTTTAAAAGGTGATTAATAATTAAAATAAATAATTATTGTTTAGAAAATTAATAGAGAAAAACCAAATTTAAATAAATATTATTTTATTGTCTTACCTCTTATATGCGTTATATTTTCACTATAAAAATATGGTATTAGTAAACTATACAAATAATTTTAATATGGGAAAAACAATATAGACAAAATTAAAATAAATGTTTTCAGTTGTATTCGTTTAATAACCAATTATTGGCTTATAGGCTATAAGTTATAGTACAGTATAAGCCTTATGCAATAAACGCATATCAATGGTTTTAGTATAAACAGATAAAATGTAAAATGCGACTTTTCATCAGTGTTACTATCATGGTTATTATCTCAAGTAAATTATGTGTTAATAAATCCTACACTTAATTCAATAATATTAAAATAACAAATATAATGTTATAGATAATAGACGTTAGTTACCGACATCCTGTTCCCATCATTTACACATTTAACGTGAAATACCTATATACCAGTATTAAAAATTATTATACAATATCCACGAATTAAATAATATAATAAATAATAAAGCATTAATATTTATTGAAAAAGACTTAAACAAAGATTATTATTAACATTATCCAAATATAATTTATTATTTATAATATTAAAATTTTGTTTAATTTTTATACATTAGTTTAAATAATGCGTATAACCCAAAATAATTAAATTATATAACAGTAAATATAATATTAATTATTGTAAAAAAATATACTTTTATATAAATACAAATATGGATTATTTATAAATAATTAATTTTATATAATAGCTAAAACTTAATTAGTAAATTTATAACTGGTAAATTTAATTGATAATCACTAATAGAGACCGATAATTAATACTGGATACATGTGTATCCATAACAAAATTATCTCCGTTATTAATATTACAATGTACATGTATACTACAGTATATCTGAATTTAATTAATATAATTCTCAATTTGTTGTAGTTATTGAAATGAATGTGTTTTACTGTTTTAATTATTCAAAATTATTATTGAATATAATTTAATCATAATTGTGCGATTACCTGGCAACTATAATCCATAATTTTTAAAAATAAAATCAATATATTATTTGAATTAATTTGAAATATTAAATTATATATAATCAACTGTCATAAATAATAATTATAAATATAATGTTACGTAATTAATAATATTTTGAAACAAAAGTAATCATGGAGAAACAAGCTAACCGTGAAAACTATTTTAAAGTATTTGTAAAAATAAAACGCATAGTAAATTTTGAGCATGATAATTGGAAAATGTTTCTAAATAAACTCGATCACCACTTATCATTCAAAAATGAAATGAATACAGTTGTTAAGGTAAATATAAAATACATGTTACTACTGTAATATACTGTATGTTAACTTAAAACAAAGCTCATATTTCAATATTGCTTTAAAATAACTGTACACTAATACTATCATATTAAAGCACAGTTGAAATATAGGCCTCGTTTGTCGTACCAAATAAATTAAATTAAACAAAATTGTATTTTTATAAAAGGGTCTAGATACTGACGGTGAAAAGTTCGTATTTATATTCACGGAATTCACCAAACGTAGGTATGGGTGCAATGAGATTATTGAACTATTAGACAGTGTTCACCTTGGTGATATTGCTAATGAATTAAAGAAGTTTAATATTTCCGATGCCGTCGACAAGTTGTCTTATACACCGTTCATAAAGTACGTACAAATTAATTTATCATCATAGTCATACAGTATCGGGCGAGATATATGAGTAACATTAAATAAACTATGCTTTAATATTCTGTAATATATCAGTGATAAACATTACACTATATTATAGATACAGTATATAAAAGCAACATTAAAATGTGTGTTTAGATATTATTACATTATTTATAACTAACATTATCTAGGTATATAGGTTAATTAAGTTTTTAAAAATATTTTTATAAAATAGCATTCACAAGTAAGTTTATTATTTATCTCTAACGTATATGTAATCAGGGTCGTCCAAGCTAAAGAGCGCTTGGAAGGTTCCAACTATTACACAATGACCAAAAAGGTCCGTGGTCAATGTATCATATTAAATAACATGTCCAAATACTGTTACATTGAAAGCGAAAGATTTCGCCACGTGTTTGAGCAACTACATTTCAAAGTAGATGGCCTGGATTACAATTGGGACGCCAAGGAAATTGAACAAAATTTAACCGAGAAAGCTAAAAAAGTTCCTCTAAATAGCGATGCATTTGCCTTGGTAATTATTAGTCACGGTTTAGATGAAAAAATAGTTGGATACAAAGGGTGCTTGGCCATAGATATTTTACAAGATGAACCGGATAATAAAGTTGCCCAAGATACACTTATGAGCGATTTAATTGATATAAAGAGCATTGCCAATATTTTCTCAGATATTAATTGCCACCGACTTAAAGGGATTCCGAAAATTATGTTTTTCGTTTGCTGTCGTGAACGTAATTTTATATTTTAAAATTACTATTAACAATTGTTCATTTTAGTTTAAAATTTTATTAATTCTATTAGTATTCTACTTGCTACAATATCAGTGTTGTAAGATTGTTTATATTTAAAATATAAATAATTTCTATAAAGAATATAGCCTGTTTCTTTATTACTCCCTTGCCTAATCAGCAATCAATATTTATGTTTTAAGTTTTCATATAAAATACTTTGTTACTTGCTAATTTTAACTAAAAACCTATTTTTTGTGTTTTATTATATATTATACTGAATTAATTCTATATTTTGAAAAACATATTCCTATAGCTCCACCCACTTTTAATGCTGAATCAAATTCCGCATGGATTGAGCCGGATACTGATGTTCAGGCCCGGGACGTTATGGTAGATAATAGCCATCTGTCAAACTTGCAGTCAGTGGACAAAACATGGATCGACGATAATCGAGATACTTTTATTGGCTACTCGTGCGCTCAAGGTAATTACAAATTGCCTAAAATAAAGCTAATTATTTATCATTATAAATGAATTAAAATTAAAATTTTATGCCAGGGTATCAGACCTGGACACAATACGGGATATCACGTTTTGGACATAGTCTCACTCACATGATTGCTAAATACGCTTGCGAAGAGCCATTAACTAACATAATGACCAGGGTGAATATTTAATTATACAAACGTTTTATAACTAACTTATATAAAAATGCCGTATTTTTTGTGTACAATAAAAATAAATAATATTTATTTTCATTTAATTTTAATAGACGTGTAATTACATGCAAACTCACTTTGATGAATCTGGCTGTTATGCCCCGGGTATATTTGGGAAATGCCTGCGACGACAAATTTGCTTCAATCCGGGGATTAATTAATTTAAATATATTATATTAATGTGCAGATTATCTAATCTAGTAAATGTATTAGTCTTACATAGATTAATCTTAAATTTAACTAGAATATATTATATAAATGCTTATAAATAAAGTAGTAAGGATATTTGGATATATAAAAATATACTACAGATATAAAAAATGTAATTTAAATAAAAGACTTAATTTATTTTTAATGTTAGTAATTATTAAGTAACTAATAATAATTATAAAATAGCATATTTAGAAATTAATATACTGTATGATTGTTACTAATAATTTTATAGTGTTGCCATAAGTTTGTTAAAATATAAATCATTAAACCCTTATAAATAGGTGGCTATCATGCAAAAGAAGGGCATTTATTATACACTTCAAACTGTATACATAACCTAATCAATGCTTTCAATAATATTTATACAACATCATGTTTCATACTTATAAAAGTATTGATTAGGTTATGCATACAGTTTGTAGTGCAAAATAAATGTCTTTCTTTTCCATGATAGCCACCAATTAGTCTACTTTGTTAGTTACAGTTTCAAATGTTTCAAAGTGTAAGTTTGAGTTAGACTTTTTATTGATAAATATATTTATTTGAAAGTTCCCGGAACTCCATAATAAACTCTCAAATACATACATGGAGTTGATTAAATTATTTTTATTTGTTTGTCAATTTATTGAATTAGATTTCTAACCGTTATATTAGAAAATAAAAGCGAAATTAAACATATAATAAAACTATTTATTGATCGGACTATTCTAATGCAATACTTTAGGGTTATTTCAGTGATATATCGCATTATGTTCTTACTCTGTATGATAACAAACAAATAAAATTATTTCATACTCTCAATGCAATATGGTATCACTTCCATGATAGCAACATACAGTATATTTAGGATGTTTTTTAGCCAAGTTATCTAAATAAAAATTGATATTACCAATATAACATTCAAATCAATTCATATACAACTAGCATAGATAAAATGTCTAGTAAATATCGTAACCCTTTTGTGCGTAAAACCCGCACAACGTCTTCAATCGAGAAGTCATTACTTGAATTCAGTGTTCAATTATACCACAAGTTGTCGACAAATGACAAGAATTTGGTATTTTCTCCGATTTCGTTGTCGACATGTCTTTCGATGGCTTTTATGGGAACTCGAGGTAAATGTGCCGAAGAATTATCTATCGGTTTGTTTGCGAAACACATTAAAGACA